AAATCCATCTCTCTTTTCACAGCATGCTTTTCAGTGATTTTTTTCATGATCCTCTAAAGAACATACATTTCATAATTGTTTTATGAATGAGTAAATGACCATTTTCCTTTCTTCTATAATAGTAAATGTGGCATTTCAAAATAAATTGACACAGTCGTCTGCATTTACTGGTATTTTAAGTGTGAATAAATACAGAACATACAGTTTAACATAAAATATTGCCAAAGATAAGGTTTTAGGCATTTTAAGACTGAAATTTTTAGGGGGAGCTTTTCACATGCCACACATCTATGGCTGGGATTTACTTATTCATAACATCGAATCTCTTACACAATGCCAATTCAAACCATTCAGAATTCACAAATAGTAAAGATTTTGATAAATACATTAATGCAATTATATATTTTAAATTTATATAATGTACATCTATACAATTCAAACTATGATCTTAATTCATTGCTGAAAACATGGATTTCAACTAATTATTTATGGTGAACCAACAATTGCCCAAAAATTTCCTAAAATATTTTCTTCATGATTTTCCTGATGGCACAGTTTATTTGTTCATTTATAAGACTATAGATAATTGGGTTGAAGAGGGGGGGGATTGTAGTATAGAAAACAGAAAAGATCATATCCTTGATGGTTGCAGATATTGCAGATGGCCTTAGGTAAACGTAGAAGACTGAGCCTAGGAAGATTGACACCACGACGATGTGAGGGAAGCAAGTGGAAAAAGCCTTTGTTCTATTTGCTCCACTAGGGAACTTGAGCACAGTAGAGAATATGTGAATGTAAGACCTGATGATGAAGATGAAACAACCTCCAGCAATCCCCACAGCAGAAGCAAGGAGTGCCATTTCATTACTGAAGGTGTTAGAGCAAGAGAGCTTCAACAGGGAGGGGATGTCACAGAAAAACTGATGAATAACATTAGAATGACAAAAGTGCAATCTGAAGGTGTAGCCTGTGTGGAATCCTGAGTACACCAGACCACTGAGGATGGAAGCCAGTGTCATCTGGGCACAGACCCGAGAGTTCATGATCACAGAGTAGTGCAGAGGCTGGCAAATGGCCACATAGCGGTCACGGGCCATAACAGTGAGAAACAATAGCTCCACGTATAGAAAGAAAACTACTAGAAAGACCTGAGCTACACATCCTCCCTTTGAAATGGCACTGCTATCAAGCATGGAGTTGACACAAGAATAAGGGACTGTTACAGAAATGTAGCATGTATCTAAGATGGACAGATTCCTGAGAAAGAAGTACATGGGAGTGTGAAGGTTCTTGTCCAAGGTGGTGATGATAACAATGAGAAAATTCCCAATCACAGTCAACAAATATATCAAAGAGAAGAATATGGCATGGAAAACCCGTAGTCCCCACACATCAGAAAACCCCATCAGGAGAAATCCCATCATCGTGGTAGAATTGGGCATCTCTTGGTGAGGAGACATCTCATACCTGAAATGCAAGGACATCATATTTGAACAGCTGAAGAATTAAATTATGAGAAGGTATGTTTCAATTGTTTTTCTCTTGCCCCTTTCCTAATTTTAATCACTATTGATATCTCTAATATTTTCGAAGGTAAATAATGTAGTTCTTCATTAGCCTCCATAACATTTTTTTTTTAATGGTAAAATAAATAGGTATAAAAATAAAAGGAGTTCTTTTTGTTACAGACAATTAGCATGTTTTTTGCTAACCAAACAGTGGCATGTTTGAATCAACTGAGAGATGCCTCAGAAAAAAGTCCTGGTGATCTTCTTCCAAAAAATCAGTGAC